ATGCTCTCCCTCACATCCTTGAAGTCTTAGTCATTCAACGAACATTTATTGAGCACCTATGATGTGCCAGACACTGTCCTAGGCACAAATGGTTGGACACAGTATTTCTCTGATCATTCCTGAGATGGAGCATCTTTTCATAAACTTATTGGCTATTTTATAGCTATTTTTTGAATATTTTTGGCTTTTTTATTTACAACAGAACAATTTAATCTTTTTTTAACAGCTTCATTGAGCTATCTTTTATATATAAAATTGTCCATATTTAAAATGTACAACTTGATATTTTGACATATATACACATTGTGTATACACATATCATAATTGAGCTAATTAACATATCCACTACCTCTATGTAGTTACCATTGTGTGTGTGTGTGTGTGTGTGTGTATTAAGAACATTTAATTTAAGATCTATCCTTTTTGCAAATTTCAAGTATACACTACAGTATTGTTAACTATCATCACCATGCTGTGACGTTAGATCTCCAGAACTTATTCATCCTATGTAACTGAAACTTTGTACCCTTTAACCAACATTTCCCATTTCCCTCACCTCCTCACCCCACCCCAGGTAACTCTACTTCCGAGTTTGACTATTTTAGATTCCACATATAAGTGACATCATGCAGTATTTCTTTATGGAAATTGCCTATTTGTTTTATGTAACAAACACTTACACAGTACTTACTCTGTGCCAAGCACGACTCCAACAACTCTGTGAAAGAGGCACTTGCTTATCTCAATTTAACAAATGAGGAAACTGATTAAGTGGCTTATCCAAGATCACACACCCTTTTTTCTGTTGGATAGTAGATCTTTAGCATATTGATTTGTAGGAACTCTTTATATCTAATGGCTATTATCCACTTGCATGATATATATTCTACTGTCTGCCTAACAGAGGAAACACTTGCCATGTTGCCTCCAACTATCCTTGTATCATGCTTTCTATCTACTGAGCTACACATACGAACTAGCAAGAATATTTTATTTAACCTGTGTCTTAGTTATCTATTACTATGTAACAAATTATCCCTCTCTCCCCACAAAAAAAAATTAACACCTTAAATCTCAAACATCTGTTATGTCACACTTATTCTAAGGGTAAGGGATTTAAGAGAAGCTTAGATGGGCAGTTCTGGCTTAAGATCTCTCATGAGGTGTGAGTCAAACTGTGAGCCAGGCTGCAGTTGTCTCAAGACTCGAATGAGGTAGAAAATCCACTTCCAAGCTCACTCACATGTTTGTTGGCAGCCCTCAGTTTTTCACTGGATTTTGGCCACAGTCTTCAGTTTTTCGTTACATGGGCTGTTCCATAGGGTTGCTCATAAAAGGGCAGCTGGCTCCCCTTTGAGTGAGTGATCCAAGAGAGAGTGAGAGTGAGAGCATCCAAGACGGAAGCCACAACTTTTATAACCTAATATCAGAAACGACGTCCCATTGCTTCTGCTATTTGCTCCTGGTCACACAGACCAACCCTGGTACAATGTGGGAGAGTATTACCCAAGGGTGTGAATACCAGGAGGTGGGGACCATCGGATGCCATTTTGGAAAATGGGTACTACACTGTGGGTCTTGCCATTATGATTCTCCACTATTCGCTTGCTATGGAAATGCACCCATACTGAATGGTACTTTTGAAAAGGAGAGAGAAACTCAGAGTCTGAAATCTCAGAGATGGATTCCCAAAACTATGGGGTTTATGCCTTCTGATACCCCATAAGCCCAAGATTCATATAACAAGCAAAAGAAAGCCTCTGGTTCTTTTAAGAAGGAAGAGGTTTCATTTAAAAGATGTTGGGTAGCTCAGAGAATGTTCGACGGGGAGTGAAGACATCACAGCTTGTATGCCCAGCACTGCCAATGCTGGACACCAACGCAGCCACTAGATCTGCAGTTACCGGTGCCTCTAGGATGAGGAAGTGGCTGCTCCTCCTTGCCAGAGTAAATTCCGGCATGGTCCTCCTTCTTTACCTGTTTCTGATTCAAAGTCTAGGGCAGGTACATTTGACTGGCAGATGATCTGATGGTTCGTTTGATGGGTCTGTGCCCCAGCTGCCAGGGGCACTAGGAAAGCAGGTGCCCACCATTTTTAGCTTCTATGCAAGGAGGCAATCCATGCCTCACCATTTGGAAGATTCTCCCAAACATAAGGACTTCAGATTCTGAGCAGTCAAAAAGTATGGCAAATATTAACTACAGCTACAAAATTTGGTCAGTTAGAAAACAGAGCATGTCTCCCTAAACTGGAAAAGGTCTTAAGACAACGTCTAGGAAGTGCAAAGCCCTCATTTTACAGACGAGGAAATTGAGGTCCTGAGAAGTGAACGGAATTGCCTAAGGTGACATAAGAAGTAAATAACAAAGGCAAGACTTTTCCTCTTGGCTCCAGACTCCCCTTTACTGCCAAGGGGTTCTTAATCTCCTTAGTGGTGTGGATCACTTTGGCAATTTGATGAAGACTGTGGACTCTTTCTCAGGATAACAATTTTGAAGTGAATAAAATAGAATGCATTGGATTACAAAGGAAACTAGTTACATTGAAATGTACTTACAGAAACAGTAAAACAAACTAGTGATATAGCAATACATACGCAATACACATTATTCTTTATTAGCACATTAGGAAAAAAATCGAGCAGTGGGTCTAACAACTACTACAATTTCAAAGAAGTGATGAGCCTAAAGGATACTTGAGGATTCTGTAACAATTGTAAAGAGATATGAAAATATCTGTGATTTCCAATGATGACAAAGTCACAGGAATTGTTAATTCCACCGTGGTTTGTTGCCTACCTTCATAATGGAAGAAATGCTAAAAATCAGTGAGAGTTTAGCGAAAAAAAAATTTCCTTTCCAACTAAAGTAATCCTTTATATTCTGCCCACAGACCTGCAGGAACTGAGATTGTCATCCCTGGCTAAGAATTCTGGAAGTATATGATGAATATTCCAACCTGCCCAGCCCTCTGGTTATAGGATGGAAAAGTGGGGGTGCACATAGTGACCCATAAAATAGGTGGAAACTGATCACGAATGGTCTGGCTTGTAAATAGGTATTGCGCGCATGTGTGTGCATATGCATGTGCATACATATGTGTACATGTGTGCATGCATGTGTATGTGTGTTGTCCCATTATAAGATATTCCTGTATTTAGACATGGAAAGACTGCATGATAAATTATTAAATGGAAAAAGCACTTTACAGAACAACGTGCAACAATAGTAGCTGACATTTGTTGAACAGTTGCTACAGGCCGAAAACTAAGTTAAGCACTTTATATATATCATCTCACTGGATCCACTCACCAACACTTTGACGTAGTGTTTTTATTATTACAGTTTATAGATGAGTAAAATGGGACGTGGAGAGATGAAATAACTTGCCACAGAGCTGCTAAGTGATGGAGCTGGCATTCACATGCAGAGCTTGGACTCACATCTGCTCTAAGGATCCAATTTTTTCTAATTAACTTTTTAAAACTCCATATGTATGTGCGTATGTGCATACGGGCATGCATGCATGGAGAAAGCTGGGTGTCATGTGTGCCTAACCCCTATCCACCTTTACCTCTGACGACAGTGACTGGGAAAAGGGCAGAGATGGGAGAGAGCTTGTAATCTTTCTTCTTAGATCCAAAAGGCTGAGGACGTTTTAAAATGGATGAGCAAGAACTCCACGTATCAACCTGGGTGAATCTCAAATAGTGTTGAGCAAAACAGAATATGCACAGGATGATATGGTGTGAAAATATGCAAAACCAGATGATATGTTATTTAGGTACACAAATATATTATTTAGGTACAATATATTTAGGTACAAATATATTATTTAGGTACACAGAGAGAGCAAAAATATCACAAAATGCGTAGAGTTAATAAATACCAAACTTGGAAAAGAAGGGATGGATCAAGACAAGGAACAGATGAAGATTCAATCTTATTGATTATAATTTATTTCTTAAACACTGTGGTGGGTACCAGCGTCCCTTGTATTATTAAATACACTATTATGCTTGGACTATTTCATAACAATTTTAATATAGAGAGGAATTACTAATAAGAAATGCTTATATGTAATCAATCGTTCTTCTTTAGCTTTGATATTGTCTGAATTTTCACAATGTTACTTTTGAAATTTTTAAAAAAAAGACGTAAGAGGGCAGAATAGTGGTCATGTCTGGGAAGGAAGGGGGGAGTGGCTGTTGGGAAGGAGCACGAGGGGGCTTCTGGATACCAGACATGTTCTGTTTCATTAGCCAGGGTCATGGCTTCACACACGTTTGCTGTGTGGTATTTCATTAAGCTGTGCATGTCTGGTTATTTTGACTTTTCTGAATGTGTATTATACGTCACAATAAAAATGCACTAAAATGTTACTTTACAAATAAGCAAAAGCAGGAGGGACATCTAAACATTTTTAAAGGAATTTCAGCTCTTCCTTTTCAGCTGGTACCGTGCCATGGCCAGTCCCACGGGTCACTCAGCAGTTCCACGCCGCTCCGCAAGCTGCAGGCACCAGGCAAAGCTATGGATGCTATAGTTCCAGACCTTTTCAGTCAGAGCTCGAAGCACACCCCAGCCTCCTGCATCCTCAGTGGGATGGCTTTTGTCAAACGGCTGTGTGCATCACAGGAGCCCAGAAAAACACTGCCATATGGCAAGACTCTTAAGTGGGGGAGCCTGAGGCGCTGAGAAAGAAAATGAGATTCAAGTGCCACTTAAGATCGCATCCATTTTTGGTTTGGGGGGCTTTGGGCTTCTTTTGATTTTTAGAAGCCACGGCAAGGTTTGCTTCCTGTTTCCTTTAGTGACCCGTCCACCAGTCTCTCCCCAGGAATGGAGGGGACTTCTAAAGACCCCAGGACACTGCTCTTACAAGCAGAAAAAGAGAAAACTGAATTGGAGAAGGAAGAGCCATGATCTGCCTGAGTTTCCTGTGGCTGCTGTAAGAAACCGCCGCAAACTTAGTGGCTTAAACAACACAAATTTATTACCTTACAGTCCTGGAGGTCAGAAGTCCAAAATGTGTCCAAATGGGCTAAGACCAAGGTGTCAGCAAGGCTGTGTTCCTTTCCAGGGCCTCTGGAGGAGATTCCCTTTTCTTGCTTTCCAGCTTTTAGAAGCTGCCTGCGCTCCCCAGCCCATGATTCCCCTTCATCTTCAAAGTCAGTAGTGGCCGGTCGAGGGTCGAGTATTTCTCATTGTGCTGTCTCTCTGATTCTGAATTTCTGCCTCCCTTTGCCTCATTTAAGGGTCTTTATGATGACATTGGCCTCATTTGCATAATCCAGGACAATCTCCTGTTTCAAGGTCAGTGGTTAGCCACCTTCATTCCATCTGCTACCATAATTCCCAACTGTCATGTAACGTAACATAAACACAGGTTCTGATGATTGGGACATGGACATCTTTAGGGGCCATTATTCTGCCAACTGCCCCAGAACTGATTCATTTTCTTAAGGTCTGCCTCCCCATTGGCTCCGTGAGGGCAGAAACCGTTTGCCCCTCCCCAAGCTCTTTCCCCAGCATCAAGAGCAGTGCTGCTTTCAAAGTAAGTACCCAACAAGTATTGCTGTGATGCTAATGGACATCTTCTGCATATTCGCTGCAGGGTCTAGGAGCGATTCATCTCAAGAAATCCTTTTCGTATAACATAAATGTGCTAGTATTTTGACGCGCATGTACTCAGGACCAGATAGAAGTCAGATGAGCAAAGGTCGACAGGAGGGGGAAGAGAAATTTCATGTGGAACCTTTAGAACCCTCCAACAACCAACTCCCAAGTTCATGTAGCACTTGCAGTGGCATCTGCCTGGGATGGACACAGCGCCAAGAAGATAAAGGGGATTTAAATGATTTAGAAGAAGTATGGAGCGCAGACGTTAGGTAATTACAGAAGTTTAGAGCTTAAACAGGTCTTATAGGGTCTCTATTCCAGTTTCCCCTTGGGTCCCTACGACGGTAATTATTTTAGGTGGGACACAAACAGGGCGTTAAAACAGATTCACAAAATGGGGAGCTCGTCTCCCTTTCGGTTCTCTGCAATTCTTCTTATTATGGAAAACACAGTCTCTGCTTCGTGTTGGTCTGTCTTTAACACCTGGCTAACACTTGCTGATCTCCTTTTTAACAAGCAGAGAGCAGACCTCAGGCTAGATCTTGGGCGGAGTCCATCTAGATGGGATGTTTGTGGCCAAACAATGCAGGGGCCTCCAGATGACTGATTTGGGGAGACTGGGGCCAACTCCCTCTCTTCCCAGTTGAGGAAACAGAGGCCCAGAGAGCTGGTCTCCCGAACCCCATCTCCTGAGCCCTACTCCAGCGTCTGCCTCATGTGTGTGAAAGTGCCCAAGAAATAACAGGGGAGAAAACAGACCATCCATCACTAAAAGGACGAGAGAAGAGAAAGTGAAAGGGGCAGGAGATGGATGTTTCCTTCTCTGGCCAGGCTGCTGAGCCCCAGGCCTTGGAGAGAATTCAGAAGAATGTGAGGGAGCAGAAGGAAAAATGAAGCAGTCAAACTGCCTGCTGGCAGGGAAGCCTGCTCAGCTCTGGCTGAAGCCACTGGCAGCAGGAATGCTCTGGGTGTGTGGGAGGAGGGGAAGGAGGAGCAGTGCCAGGAGGCAGCTGAGGGGTGCCCAGGAGCCGGGGCTCAGGACTCCCCCCGCCACCCAGGAGGGCGCTTGAGGAGGGAGCCCCAGAGTGACCGTATAAGCCAGTCAGACCCCTCAAATCTCTGTCCTCCACTCCCCCACCCACCCAGACCTCAAGAAAGCCAGCCGTCACCCTTCCTCCGGCACATCCTGGCAGACGTGCAGATATGGCCCTGACTTTACAGCCAAAATTACCTTTCCAGGAAAATGCTTCCACCTTCTGAAAAGGACACTGAGAAAATAGTGTACAAGGCAGAGGATTTCAAACTCTTTTAAAGCAGACAAATCTTTCTGTCAATGATCAAACAGGAGCATCATTTAAGGGTCTGCAATCAGAGTTCCTAAAAAGTATTTGACTGGAACAAAGTGAGTACACAGAAATGTATTTTTTAAGTGAATGTATATATAAACAAAAGTAGAGCTGGTCTGATTAAAGTCAGCATGGAGGTGGGTTCCAGAACTCCAGGTCCTTGCCCCAGCTCTGTCACCTCTTATAAGCAGCCAATCATAGATTGAAAACACTGAGCTGAGCCAAACCATCCACCCTGCTCCCTTTCCTGCCATGCTGGAAGAGGCTTGGGTCCAGGATTTTCCTGCATCTAAAGTCTCCCATATTTGAAGAATCAATGATGAGAGATGATAGGAGTCTAAAATAAAAGTGCTCCTTATCCAGAAAAATCTTGACAACGTCAGAGATGCAAAATCACAATTTTCAAAACTAGGCCCTGGATCTCCTGGCTGTCTTGACTCATTGAGCTTTGCCACCCATCCCTACATGTTCAGTGTATTGGTTATCCATTGCTGCATAACAAATCACCCCAAAATTTAGTGGTTCGAGGCAATCCTTTATTTTCACCATTCTGGGGACCAGCAATTTGGGCTGGGCTCAGCTGGGAGGTTCTTCTGGCCTGGGCTGGCTCAGCTGATCTTGAGTGAGGTTCCTGTGTGTGTCTGCGATCAGCTGATGATTGCTTGGGGTTGCCTGGGGATGGCTTCGCCCACGTGGCTGGTAGTTGACAGGCTGTAGGAGGGGCAGCAGGGGTCTCTGACCATATGTCTCTCCTCATCCATTATGCTATCCCGGGCTTGTTCACATGGTGGGGGTTTCTAAAAACATCACAAGGAAGCTGCAAGGAGGCTCAGCACTGGGTCTGTCACTTATACCACTTTCTACTGGTCAAAACAAATTGCACAGACATCCCTGATTCAGAGGGTAGACAGGCTCCACTGCTGGATGAGAGGAGCATCTGGGCAGTGTTACAACCTACTGCAGAGACACAGAGACCCTTGCCAGATGCGGTGGGAAGGAAAGGAGTTTATTTTGGAAGTTCCAGTTGCATGGTGGGCTAATGACTTATCTGTTATCCATGGGCAAGGTCTGGAAGATTATGGAACTGGGTTCCCAAGCCTCCCTTCCCTCCCAACACACCCCATATGAAGCACAGCACAGACCTCTGCCTCATCTGCTTCCTGCCACCCCCCATAAGAGTAAGAAGCAACCCCCTTCTTTCATCAAAGGCCAGGCCCACAGCTCCCCAGTCTTCCCTCAACCTCCCCCTCTCACAACACACCCCTCATCCAACCTCACATTCTGGCTTTCCTGGCAGTGCAGCTTGTCCCACCTTCTACATGTCAGCCCAACACACACAGATGACTGGAAATGCAAAGAAAACTGACCACAGTGGGAGGGAATTCATGATGCAGACGATCACACAGGGTAGAGAGTGTAGCAGTGATGCCCACAGACCTGAATTCAATTCCTCAGCTACTCTGCTTCCTACCTGAAGGACTTGGGCAAGTTAGCCAATCTTCCTGAACCTCAGTCTCTTTATCTGTAACATCGAGCTGCCTTACTAAATTATGCCAATGATATAAACATGCAGAGAGTGCTTATTGTGTCAGAAATGGGTCTAGGGCTTTGTGAACTAGGTTCTATTTTTATCCTTATTTTATACAGCAGAAAACTGAGGTTCCTAGAGGCTCAATACATTGACCATGGCCCCCAGCTACTAAGCGTGAAAGCCAGGATTCATACCTAGAGAGTCTGCTCCTAAAGTTGTGCTCTAGCCACCTCATTTAATTTTTGCATGGCATATAGGTTTCATTGCAATGCCAATTCCATCTGCCCAAGAGTAGAGATCTGAGAGATTACGCTGAGAGAAACTGTGAGACTGAGTCCATGATCAGTGGAGAAAGGGTGCTGTGATGGATTAGCAGTGTCTGCCATGGTACTGGGCTTAGGAGCGGTGGCCTGGTTACAGCTCATGGCTTGCTTCTCTGTCTTATCTTCACCACATTGCTTCCAGGTACTGTCTGATTCTAAAAGGAGCCCCCTCAGGTTTCCAGGTTGGATAAAATATATGCCTTTACAGAAGCTCTACCCAGGAATTCACATGGCATATTTGCACATAGAAAGCGCTGTCCCACCCTCCCTGCCCCCTTGACTTCTATACCTAAACCACTCAGGTGTGTCCCCATGCCAACACCCCTGGCTTTCCTAGACTGCTCTCAAGGTGGACTAATGATCCACAGTACCATTTGGAAGAATGGACATGTTGCCAAATACACTCCACCGATTTTCAGAACATGGTACTATGTGGTGCTCTGACGCTTTTTGCCCACAAAAAACAAATGCTTAGAGGTTGTGGGGAAACGATTTTTAAACAAGCAAAGAATTCCTCTGACATGTTCCATTTCATCTTTAAAACTCATGTGACTTTTGCATATGACTTATGTTACATCTGTCTTTACTTTAATAGAAGCCTGATTTTTTTTTTATTACTTTTCATCAGGAGCAAACGATGCTCTAGGATGATGGGTCTCATTTATCTTGTGGTTTCTCATTCTGCCTGGAAGCTGTTCTCATCCCTTCTACCCTAGACAAACCTCAACCTGCAAAACATGGTGGAATGAAAAGATCATAAGATGAATGCGCCATACAGACCCAGGCTTACATCCCAGCTCTCCCGCTCACTAGCTGGAGGACCTTGAGCAAATTCCTTTACCTCTTTGAGCCTCAGTTTCCTCACACGCAAAATGGGGTGTTGTAAGAACTAAGGAAAATACCTTTGTAAAGTTCCCAAGACCTAAAAAGTAATAAATGCTGCTCCCTTTCCCCACCTTTCACATCCTCCAGGCTACTTCAAGCTTTCTCAGCAAGCTTTGGTCTACACCATGGGAAAATGGCCCACTGCCCAATTAACCTGGCAGAGGAATCAGAAGACTAGCCCCTCCCCCTCCCCTGGGACCCCTCCCCGCCATTTTGGTTCAGTCCAGAATAACTGAATTTAGACTGAACCATTTGGGGTCGCTGTTTTGATCTGGAGGCTTAGAAAAGAAGATTAAAACTTTTAATCTGCGCTTTAGTGAAAACTAGATTTTGCCTGGCAAATTAGCTTTAACTTCCAGCCACAGGTGCTATATGTTTGCGTGTGGCTGGCTTTTATTTCCAATCAGGAAAATACATGTTTTGATCCAATAGTTTCTAATTTAAAAAAAATTTAAGTCATATAAGCAAATCGTTATTTATTTTTAAATCAAATAGAATGAACTGATTTCAAATGAAGAGTAATTTTCCTCTTGTTTCTGACTTCCCGCCCACCCCAACCCCCACTTCTTCCCCGTCAAGGTAACAAAGGGTATTAGATTCCAATAAAGTCTGCCAGAAATATTCTATTTATAGAAAAGTAAACAAAACAGATATAAAACATGGTTTTAGACAGGTATAGGTGTAGATATAGGTATAGATATAGATGCAGATACAAATATAGATATAGATATAAATATAGATGTATAGACTCGTTTTTACACTAACGGAAGCACACTATCTACAGAGTTCTTCATGCTCTATCCTAAAGATTATTTTGTTTCAGTTTGCATGGACCTGTTTCATCCTTTTAATTTCTGTTTTATTATTATATGTATTATTATTTCACTATTTGGATGAACCATAATTTTTTCAGCAGTCTTCTACTGATGGTCAAAGAGATTGTATTTAATATTTTCCCATTACAAACCATGTTATATCAATATACCTGCATATGGGTCTTTGTGCAAAGATTTTTTTACAGTTCACATTTAGAGTACAGGATGATTTGTTATTGCCCCGTGAGTTAATACGTTCCACAATAGTATAGTAGAGTAAAAACACCCTCATACTAGACGGTTCCTATGCACCTTAACTTGCTGGCAGTGGTCCTGGCTCAAACAGTACAGCATGTTGGTACATTCCAGAAGTTCAGTGAGTATAAATCCTTCCAAAAGAAACATCTCTATCAGTGGTAGATGAAGATTAAGTAATTTTCAATTACTTCTTGAATCTTTTCCCTCCAGTCTTCTCCCTACAACTCTCGAAGGAGCCAACTTTGATTGTCATAGTCCCAACATGCCTATTGCCATTTATGACAAGCAAAAAATTTTATTTGCACTTGTTGGTAGCTTGGAGATTCTTAATTTTTTGAGATCGTATACCTGCTAGAGAACCTTGTAAGAGCTGAGGACTCTCATTGCTCCCCAGCCACTCTGAAAAAATGAACATACAGCAAATTTGGGGTCTCAGGTTCACACACATTACCCCTCAGGTAAGCAGATAAAATGCAGTTAATTTTATGACTGATGTGGTCTTTCTCATGAGGCCTTGCCTTCTAGGTAAAACAACACAAAAAAGTAAATTTTAGTCCACTTGGATGCAACAATTTAAATCGTTCCTTCCGGTGATTACTTCCTCTCAGATTTCTCAGCTTCTACCTGGAAGACCCCTCTGAGTCTCTGTCTGGCAGTCCACCACCTCCTTCCCCTTAGGGATTATCTCAATCTTGACCATGACAGTGGAGCCAGGTGGAAATAGCCCTGGCCAGGTAACACTGGTCCTGAGACATGGGTAACCCATCAGATGTGGATCACCAGATATTTCCAACAAAAATATGATCTCACTTATATATGGAATCTTAAAAAAAAAAAAAAGAGAGACTCACTCCTTCACTTTTCAGTTCCTTATCAAATGTCACTTTTTCAAAGAGTGCTTCCCTAATGACCCTTTTATGATTATCAAGGCAAAATTCACATAACATAAAATTACCCATTTTATTTGTACAGTTCATTGGCATTTAGTATATTCACAGTGTCGTACAACCATCACTTCTACTTTGTTCCAAAACATTGTCATCCTCCCAAAAGGAGACTCCATAATCATTAAGCAGTCACCCCTCATTCCCACATGATGCCCCTTGACAAAAATAAAAATAAGAAACCACAGCACCCCATTCCCTTCCCTGCTCTATTTTTCTCCCTATGAATTATTGTCATCTTGCACACTATATAGTTTTACTTCTTTATCTTGGTATTATCTTATACTTTCCTGTCCCCTCTAGAATATGAATACCATGAGAGAAGAAAAAAAGTTTTAACTGTTTTATTCACTGCCTAAAATGGTACCCAGAACATATACATAAAACATGCTCAAAAAAATAAATCTTTGTTGACTGAATTAGTGAATAGCTTTTTCAGGAATTGGTGGATCCACACTGGTTCCTAAGGATCACCACTTTTCTTTCCATTTACTTAAAAACCATGTTTCCAAATATCGTCTGAAATTTTTGTTTTTTGGAGTGAGGAAGATTGGCCCTGAGCTAGCATGTGTTGCCAAACTCCCTCTTTTTTTTAGCTTGAGGAAGATTGTCCCCGAGCTTACATGTGTGTCAGTCTTCCTCTATTTTGTATGTGGGACACCACCACAGCATGGCTTGATGGTGGTGTGTACATCCATGCCTGGGATCTGAACCTGCAAACCCGGGCCACTGAAGCAGAGTGCACGAACTTAACCACTAACTTAACCACGGGCCGGCCCCATCCATCTTAAACTTGACTAGAAACTGACTCATGAGTTTTGTAGTCACTAGTTCTAAGGATATGTCTTTTTTAAAAGAAAATAATAAATACCCTAGAATTCATCTCAGGCAGCATTACCGAAGGCTTTTTTCTTAATTAAGAAATCAAACCTATTTCAACACACAGGCAGGTGCATAAACAACATAAGATTCTGCTGAATCCCATTCCTGAAGGACTTGCCTTTCTCCATTAGCATTATCTTCTTGCTCCGGTCACGCAGCCCTGTTTTGGCTTCCCTTGCTAAACTTGGGATCCTGCAGTACTGGAAAGACCCCACCAGTCACTGGGTTAAGTCCTGCCAATTTGTAGATGTGAAAAATAAGGCCCAGAGACAAGAAGCAGTGTAGCCAAAAGCAAACAGTCAGTAGCTACAAAGCCACGACTCAATTCCACATAAGACAACGAGCTCCTGGAGAACAGACAATATGTCTTATTCATCTTTCCATTCTCATTACCCAGAAGATCGCCTAACACATAGTGGGTGCTCAACAAATGCTTATCAAGTGAATAAATGCCTCTGTCATCTATTCCTGGATGACTAACCACACCACACCAGGCCCAGGGGCTTGGACCCTCCCCGGGTTGAGCCTGCAGAAGGATTTAACAGATCTTTCATCTCGCCTGCAGGAAGCCAGCAGCCCCCAGACCTATCTGTGCTCATACAGGTCTGGGACTGTTTCCGGGGGAGACACGAGGCTCTGGTTTTCAATAGAAGCCCATCAAGGGCTTAGAGATTTTCCAAAATTGAGCAGCAAGCCAAACAACACTCCCAAACAGTCATCGTGAAGGTCACCATTCTGTTTGTCCTCAAGTTGGATTTGCTCCCAAGTCCTTGGTTAGATCTTGGGTGTCCCTAGACCGACCTGATGCATAGTGTTGTGCTGTTAGGCAACCCAGAATTAATAGGTTGTTATTCTTTAGAGAGGAAATGTGTGGATCAGAAGTTAATTGGAATTTTGGCCAGAAAATCCTTTAAGATCGGCACCTGCTGTTCCGTCTGTCCTCATGTCCCGAACCTTTCCTCGGTTGGCTGCTTCTCATCACCCTCAGCTCAAATGACATCGCTCATAGATCTCTTTCCTGGTTACCCTGTCAATGATGCCCTCCTCTGCCTGCCTCCTATCACAATCATATCATTGTGTTTTATTTTCTTCATAATGCTCATATCTATCTAAAATTATCTATTTGCTTTCTTGCTTGTTTATTGTTACTCTCTTCCTAATGGGGATGTAAGTTCTCAATTTCTTCCCCAGTGCCTAGAACACAAGCAGGGACACTGTAGACACTCCATGGACATTTATGTCAAGGATGATGGACCAGACGTTTTCCACAGTTGGCAGAGCTAGCTGGCAAACACCTCTGGCTGGTGAAAGGTCTCCATGCCAGCCCAGGATCTTGTAGAATGACCTACCAGTTATTCCACACTCCCATGGCCACACTCACAACAGCTCCATGATAGAAATTCTATCATCATCCCACTTCTCAGGTAAAGAAACTAAGAATCAGAAAATAACATGCCCAAAGAACTCAACTTGCAAAAGACAGAGCTGAGACTCAAATGTAAGTCTGTCCCAGGCCCAAGCAGATGCTCATCATCACTCTGCTGCTCCCACAGCCCGGCTGAGCAAAGAAACAACTGCAGCAACAAGAATAATAGTAGCTAACAAGTATATCGCACTTACTTTGTACCAGGCACTGTTTTAAGTGCTTTAAAAGGGGCAGATGAAAGAGGGGGAAATGTGGTCCTCATCAACAAAAAGAGTCTATCCCTGTCTGTAAAATATAGATACTCCACGTATGAACAGCATTGTTGGGTGGAATAAATCAAAGCGTGAACAGAAAGTACCAGGCACAGGATGGGCCCATCACCCCTTCCCCTTTTTCCCACTGTGCTCATCTCTCCTAGTGTGGAAGGACGTCTTCCATATTGAGCATCCAGCCACTCAAAGGGGACACGGTACAATATATTTGGTAAATGGCCATCATGGGCCTTTGAGGAGAACAGAGGAGGTGTTCGGGGTAGGGGGTGGAATTCTGTGCAGGCATCTTCAAGAATAGCAAGAACCCAGATGGACGCATATCAAATGTTCCTCATGCACGTGATTCGGCCACCTTCCTTCTCACCAAGCCAAATAGCCATCACTTAAAAGCTTTAAAATATAAAAGTTGGCTGCTGATTTTCCATTCCCAAATTTGGGAACAGGTAGTCATCGCTTGTCCGGCAGCTTTAGAGGTCTTCTGAGCACTAGATGCTTCTCAGCATCCTTTGGAATTGTTTCAGATGACCATGCACTTGCTGGTTTCTAAAAATGAGCAATACAGGGCTCGTTATGTGTGTGCAGGGGAAGGAAAGTGGTGGAAAGAGATGGGTGAGGAGGGCAAATGGTTGCATAAGACAACAGAGGAGGACTGAAGTATTATTGCTCTCCGTGTCAAAGAAATAAAAAACTCCTGATGGCTCTCTCTCTCATACCAGGTTATCAACTCTGATGGCTCGACCATTCATCACAGCCCTTCTTGGCCCTTCTTGGTTTACTTTAGGGTAACACATTCTTGAAATGTCCTGGCCCTGGCAAGCAGCATTCCAGGCATTCCAAAACATCCAGAACTAGAGAGGAAATGCCACATTTTGGTTAAATGAGTTACCCCACACACAAGCAATGCAGCACTCACTGAGAAAATTCTCCTTTGGGATCTAAAAGGCACTTCAAGGTTTTTCAGAATTTGGGTCATGGGCAGAAATCTGATTTGGGATGTCAAAGAATAGAGGTGCTGGGGCTGACTTGGGGCGGACCTTTTCATCACCTTGGACAGAAGACGTACTCCTTCTGATATGGTCCGAAGGAAGCTGGTTTCATCCATCACCTTCCATAAAAATAGAACAAACACATATTACAATATTCAAAAATTCTAGTTGTTTACCTTGTTTTTTAAAAAAACACTGATAGAAAAAGGACTCAAAGGAAATAAAGACACCAAACTATCAACTGGGGTTATCTTTCGGTCATGAATTTTGCTTTCTTCCTAACATACTTTTTAATTTTTTTCAAAATTTCTACAATAAGCAGGTATTTAGTGTTACATATTTTTTATAAAGCTTGGTTTTGTGTTTTAAATTCCATTGATCTGATCTTTCTATTTTAAATTTATTTTTTCAACAAATATTTATGAAGCATCCACTATGTCTGGGTCAGCAAACTATAGTTCTCGGGCCACACCCTCCTTTTATAAATAAAGTTTTCTTGAAACACAGCAATGTCCCTTGGTTTCCCTTATTGCCCATGACTGCTTTTGCACTACAAGAGCAGAACTGGATGGTTGCAAGAGAGACCACATGGCCCACAAAGTCTAATGTATTTGCTATATGTCTGAGCCAGAGAAAGTTTGCTAACTCCTGTGCTGTGTGAGAGGCTCTAGGTTAGCTAATAGAAATCAACAGTGAGCCAAAGCAGAAAAGATACATCCACAGTGTCATGAAATTTGTCATTTTTTGCCTACAGCTTTCCCACATTCCTAAAAACAGCTGCCTTGTGGTTGCAGGAAATGTTACTGGCTTATGGTATTCACGGCTTTATTCTCTGTAGTTAAGGCAGATTCCTGATGGCCCAGGGATGGAGAGACCCCCAAGTTTTGCTTTCTCTGTTAACAAAAGAAGCACGATATTAACCTGTGCTCCCCCTTCCCAACACAGTGCCAGGCATACAATTAAGCTCTCAATGAACTTTAGCTGTTATTGCCAGATCAGCCAGGGGCCCCCAGTTATATTCACCATCCCCTGCATGGGACTCAAATTCCACCCCAGGTTTAAGAGGCCAGTGTCCGCTATGTCAAGGCAGCAGAACTCTCAAGTCTGGACAATTTAACACGCTTCTCTTTATTTACCTGAAATAGCATTTTTGAGGACCATGAAGCTGGGAGTTTGAGATATATGGTACATGGCAGGCACACAATTCCTGCTTAAATGCAAGCATCACCTGGTCTGGGAACTGGAGATGAATAATCAAGAAATGAGCTTCCAAACCCAGTTCTGTAAACAAGCTCCCAACCACACACAACCACCCTTTGCCTTCTGCTGGACTCCATCTCCTTGGAAACATCATAATAGGCTTAACAAAAGCTCGGAAGATTCTCAGAAGATGGACTGTTCACTCCACAACAGGAATGGCTTAAGTATTCTATTACAGAAGCATGCATCAGGTTGGCCCTGGCATTAACCTGCTAGGCATGCAGAAACACATCAGAAACAGGTGGGGAGAGAAGCAGGGCTCCGAGTCGCCTCTGCAAAGGGAACTCTGTGGGAAACACTCTAATTAGGAGCTCGGAGTCTGTTCAGCCTTCAGTAGGATCATTCCACCTCTGTCTCCCTTATTCAATTAAGGAAATAATAGGAACCTTCAATTTGCTCTATGATTTAAAATAATGGTAAATGATCAGGTAGAGTTTGGGGGTTTTTTTAAGGCACATTTCTAAAAGGAACTTCTGCTGAATTTAATCATGCCTGCTTCTGGGAAATAGTCATCAAACACACTATTGGCAATTCAAATCGTCTCCCCCACATAAACACACTCTTTGTCAGCGGCAATATCCATCACGGAATGAATCATTCAGAACTGGGAGGCAGGCTCTGCATTTCAAAGATAAACAAAACAACAATGATAATTATTATTATAAAGCTAATTTAGCCCAGAAAAAGAGAGTGAAATGATTAAGGTAAGTGTACAAATTGGAACAAAGAAGAAAAACACACACCCAGCAACACGGGCAGGTATATTTAGTGAGCTGCTCCACCTGTGGAGGACTCACTGTGCTCTGAGGACCATTTTTTTTTTTCAGCATCTTCTGAACCTACTGTGTCTGGTATGCCTGAATATTTTCGTATAAAGTATTCTCTATTATTCAGAGTCCAACTACCCAAGATTTTTGCTTTATCTTTTTTATTTTGGGGCCGTTTCCGTAATGTGGAATGAGGAAAAGGAGGTGAAATCATATGAGCTTTGAGGACTTTGAGTTTCACCTAAGGCTAAAGAGCATCGTTCCCAGGTTCACACAGTCTGACTTGAAATCTGGCTCATCAGATAAATGACCTTGCGTGAGTTACCTAACTTCCTCACTCGCCATGTGATGAGAGTAATAGTATGTCCCCATGGGGTTATTGTGAGGATTCAATGAGACAGCACTTATCCTGGTGCTTGGAAAACAGTAAGGGCACAAAACTGTTAGCTGCCATTATTGTTATTATTATTATCCAGCCCAATCCTGGAGTTAATGCTTCAATCCTCTTGAGGACATCACATGTAAGTGGTTGACCAGTCTTTGAAAACCTCCATGGATGGAAAGCTCATTATCTACATCAATGAATATCTCTGGCTCTTAGAAAGTTCTTTCATGTATTCAGCTGAAATTTCTCCCCCTGTGGCTGCTGCTCCTTAGTCATAGTTCTCTCCCTTGGGAGTCTTGAAGGGCAGGGGTAATCCCTCTTGTACTTTGTATTAGTGAAGGTTTGGTTTGATTGTAAGTAATGAAAATCAACTCTAGAAAGCTTTAGCATTAAAGGAAATTAATTTGAAAGATCCTGAGACATCTGATTAATCAGGAAGAAGAAGGAGAAGAGAGAGAACAGGAAGAGGAAAGAGGAGAAGGAGGAGGAGGAGGAGGAAGAGGAAGAGGAGGGGACAAGAGAAGGAAAAGGAAGAGGATATCAGCCACAGGGAATAGAGAGACCAGTGCAAGTTGATGACCAACCGCATCAGGAGTCAGCAAACTTTCACCTCCAGCACTATCATTAACAAGCCTTACTCACAGTTCCAAGAAAGTGATTGGCTCAGCCTGAGTCAGGTGCCTATCCCTGGATCAATCAACTCTGGCCAGGGGGCAGAGTCACCCGCTGCAGATCTTGGTGCTGGGAACCCGTCCATGTATTGGGGAGTAGAAAAGCATCCCACAGAAGAGCAAATTGTGGACTGAGCAGCCTCCCAGCCACCATACTATGAGGAAGCCCAAGCCATGTGAATGAACTGTGGCATAAACCTTAGATACTTCAGGAAGCTCTTCTCTAGAATAAGTATCCTTCAGTTCTTTCAACCACTTAGATTGAATTCTTAATTTAAAATAATTATGAGATGGTTTATTTAGTGTTCTCACTAGAATGTTAAACTACATGAAGAAAGAGCACCATGTCTAGCTCATTCACCAACATATCCCACCACTTAGCCAGGAGCTTAGACCACAACAGGTACTCAAATAATTGCTGAATTAGTTAATTGATTGATTAATACATTAATTGAACTATAATTTTTAAGATCCTTGTGGTTACTCGCTTCCAAATGTGGCTCTGTCCCTTTCAGTCAATTCCCACTCATTGTAAGAAACTCCAGCGTCAGAAGACTTGTGGCACAAAATAGAAAAGAAGGTAAGATAACTCACGAGTCTTATTTTCAATCACCTGAGGATTTTATTTGCCCATCTGTTCTGATTATCTATTCCTGCATAACACACTCCAAAACACAGTAGCTTAAAACAACAATGGTCATTGACTTGGCTCATGAATCTGCAAATTGGGCAGGGCATAATGGGATGGTCATTTCTGTTCCACATGGCATTAGTTAGAATAGCTTGGCTGGGGGCTGGAGAATCCACTTCCAAGAGGGCTGGCAAGTGGATGCTGGCTATGAGCTTGAAATTCAGCTGAGGATGTGGACCAGGACTTCAGTTCCTCTCCAAGGGTATCTCTCCATACCTGTGCTTGACATGTTCACGGCATGGTGGCTGGGTATCAAGAGTGAGCATCCCAAGAAAGCAAGACAGAGAAATATGTGGAATTTTACGATGCAACCTCAGAACTCACATGGCATCACATCTGCCATATGCTAATGGTCAAGGCAATCACAAAAGAATGCCCAGTTTAAGGGACATAGACCTTGCCATGTTATGGGAGAAGTGTGAAGATCACATTGAAAGAGGAGCATGTGGGATGAGAAATATTGCTGTGGCTATCTTTGGAAAATACAATCTGTGCCACCATCTCTTCTCTTTTGGCACATGCAATCAAATTGAGTTTCAGCATTGCTGGTTTAGACACTGTTGCCCAGTCCTCCACTCAATCATCAATTTTTGAGTCATCTATGCTGGGCATAGGATTAAGTCCTGGAAGTGCAAAGATAAATGAGAAAACTCTCTTCCACTGGGGAGTTCACAGATGGGTAGAGAAGATGAATAATGAAAATCCAGTGTTATGAGTGATTCAGCCAATATATGTACAGGCAGTGTTGGCAGAAAGAAATGATTGATTTTGCCTAGGATGGAAGCTAGTTTACTTAAACACTTTTCTTCAGTGGACATAGGTTCTGTCATGCTGCTAGGTTACCATTTTCAGAGTTAACATGAATTCCCCTAGATGAGCATATGGACAGCCAGATCGCCCAAGTTGTGCCACGTGGGAACCACACCAACCACTACCAAAAAGAACAGGACTTCTTGGCTAACAAAGGCAGTAGCAACTGGAACCGACATCTTGGACTTAATAGGTCCTCCTGGGAGTCTTGAAATTTTCACAAGAGGGAGAACTCCAGGAAACAAATAATAATGATGACAATAATAACTTTTTAAAAGTAGACTTTATTTTTCAGAACATTTTTAGACTTACAGAAAATTGGAGGAGACAGCACAAAATTTTCATACATCCTGAGCCCAGTGCCCTCTATTATAAACATCTTAGATAAGGTTGGTAATTTATTACAATTAATGAACCAATATTGATACATTATCATTAGCTGAAGTCCACGGTTTATTCAGATTTCCTTTATTTTTACTAGTGTCCTTTTTCTCTTGCAGGATTCAATCCAGAATACCACATCACATTTAGTTGCTGTCCCCTTAGGTTCCTCTGGGCTGTGACAATTTCTCAGACTTTCCTCATTTTTTATCATCTTGATGGTTTTCAGGAGTACTGATCACGTATTTTGTAGGATTCCCCTCTATTGGGATTTGTCTGATGTTTTTCTCATGATTAGACGGGAGTTTTGGATTTTGGGGAGGAAGACCACAGAGATAAATTGCCATTTTCATCACATCATATCAGGGCACATAGTATCAACATGATGTATCACTGTTAATTTTAACCTTTTTTAATCTTGATCACCTGACTGTGGTAGTTTGTCAAATTTCTCCATTGTACTGTCACTCTTTCCTCCCCTTTTTGTACTGTCCTCTTTGGAAGGAAGTCACTTTGTGCAGCCCACACTTAAGGAGCGGACCACATGCTCCTCCTCCTTGAGGACAGAGCATCTACATAAACTATTTGGAATTCTTCTGCCCGGAAGGTTTGTCTCTTTCCCTCATTTATTTACTAGTTCAATCATTTCTTTATGTCAGTATGGACTCATGGATATTTATTTTATACTTTGGGTTATAATTCAATACTCATTTATTTTGTCGCTCAAAGCGTTCCTGCTTTGCCACTGGGAGCTCTTTCAGTTAGTCCGTCTGTCCCCTTAACATATCTCCCATCATTGGGGTGTAATAATGACTTTTTTGCATATATGTGTAAGCCCTAGAATAGAAACAGTATGTTATGATGTGTATTTCTAACTTAATCATTCAAATAAGTCTATGGTGTAAGTGCTCCCATTTACAGATGAGGAAACTGAGATGGGAGGGGGTTCAGTAAATTATTCAAGGTCACGAAGTTCAAAATGGTAGAGCTAGGATGTGAATCCATACTGGCTAGCTCCAGATCCCCCACTTTTGAAAAGCTGAGGGTTAAAAGGAATACAACCTCAAACGCTGGTTATATATATTGATATGTTAAAGAGACACAGAGCCAGATGAAAGAGCTTCCAATGACCACAAGCAGCGGCAGCCACTTTTCTGTATCTTTTGGCTTCCAGTCCTCACCCTCCCACCCCCTAAACACAGTCAAAAGGAAAAGCTGGCCAGGGAAAACCACCCACATGGAAGTGTTATAGACTTCATGTGCTGCTCCCTCGCAGGAAGTTGTGGAAAGATGTGATGGACACGTAGAGATGGATGCTAAAGCTGACATTTCCAAAATCTGAAGGGG